ACTAATATTAGTAGTTTAAATACTCTTCCCAAATTTAATATTATTCATGGTGGTGTACACAACTAGATATTTTTTATAGAAAAAAATTATTCAAATTTTTTCTTTTTTAAATAGTCGTCAGTTGTTGATATGTTCTTGAATCAAGTTTGAAATATTTAATCTGACGTTTTTGACAGCTTGATATTCTGAAATCTATGGTTCAATGCTGTATCCCATGTGATTAATAACTCTAGATGGTTTTATTAAAATGCTCCTGACATTTTTCATTAAACTGCAGCAGTGGATGGCTGCTTTTTCTTTTTTTTTGGCCATCAATATTATAGCTCCAATCTTTGAAACAAACTATCCTTACTACATTTATGTGTATTTTTGGAAATAAAATAACCAGGACTATTTGATAATGTATTCAAGATTTATAGAGAAGCTGAAGCTTGGGGATATGTTAAATTGTGGGTGGTAGAGACACGGTGTTAATTGACAACTTGAAAACAGATTTTATATATTTTCTATATAATAATAATAATATAATAATAATTTTATTCAACACGAAAATCTACTACAGAGAGTAATTTTATGGTTGTAAAACAAGAACAGAAATAATACTTCCGCAACTAATATCACAAATAGCACATTAAACATAAGCTAATGTTATTGTTTAGTACAAAGCAAGACGGAAGTACAGTTCAATCCACCAGAATCACGAATAAAACATTGAATACATGTAACTAAGAATGGAGGAAAAAATATATGACCATTCATTCTATAATAGTTAAATAATTTTCCAAAACCGGAATGTGAAAAGATGAAAATATATAGTGTCAGGATATTGATCAAATTAATTTCCACAACATACACAAAATGATCAGAAACTAGATTCTACTCTAGCCATATATAAACCAGTTATCTGGCATCTACTCCATACATGTAAATAGCCTTCTAATCATAAATCTCCATATATTGTACTTGGAGGTGTGGCGTTTTGTTTGACGTCATGCTACATGTAACATATAACAAATATTAAATTGGATGTTATCTCGTTCTACGTATAGTTGTGAAGTACAGTAATTGCAACACTAATTGCAAGACCCAAATTCTTCAGCTATCAAACCTACAAATCGAGCTGGACTTGAAAATTGTGGGTGAGAGGAAGTAGAATTTTATGTCTTGTTTGTCAATACAACCTTTTATGATACGGTGTCATTGCGTACTATGTTATCAACAGAATCTGGTTGGTTAACAAGGTAAATATTAAAATGTAGTCGCACACTAGCTTCAAATGCAAAAGATATCGTTTCCTGGTTTGTTACCTGTGAATAGACTAATTTTCTAAGGTCTGTTGACTGTGATGTTGCTTTAAATGATGGTCTTGTTCTATAAAGTTGCTGTTACAGCATTATTATTAATTAATTTAATGTAGTCGCACACTAACTTCAAATACAAAAAAAAAGCATTTCCTGATTTGTTGGCTTGCATGCATAGATCCATTTTCTAAGGTCTGTGGACTGTGATGTTTTTTTAATGATGGTCTTGTTTGAAGTTGCTGTTAGGGCTATTATTAACATGTCAAGAAATTATTTTTAAACGATTGATTTGATTTGATTAACCGTTTGGAACCTGTAAAATTGGGTGGTCAAAGACCACTTGTCACAAATAGTACTGTACTTTATTTCCTCAAATAAATAGTAGTATGAGTGTTGCAAATATCATTTCACAAAATGGACATTTAAGTTGTAATTCATAATTTGATATCGAACAGTGAAACACCTTTCTGTCATCTGAGATAAAATTTACACAAAATGTATATTCTTCAATTGGAAATAAAAATGTCTTTGCACATCTGCTCTATATAATGAGCATTTTAGGTAATCTCCTCAGGTGCTTGTAGATCTAGTGACAATCACATAGTTTCTTCCGTGATTTCCCCAGTTTTCGCATGGTGAACTATACATATATAAATATACAGATAATGTAACTATGTTGAAATTTGTTGGTAAAACTACTATTAGAAGAACATGGACAGAATCTTTCTAGCACTAAATAATTAACACTTCCACTAAAGGTCATCTCGATTGTCACTCTGGATTATTCAAATTCCAGTTTTCTTTATGTAATTTATTGCTTGTAATTTCCAAATAAACGATGGTATCCTTTTTGTTGATTTTAGACTTTAGACGCCCCTCCCACATAACAATGCTGGAAAATAGTTGCCCACAGCACGATTGGTTACTGTATTTGCTCTAGTGCACATCATTAAAATATGTCTTCGTTTAGCCCAAGGCACACACCTGTTATTTTCATAACCACATGTGCTACTTATCTAGCAAATTAGTAACAGTACAAATAAGTAACAGCAAAACAGTACTGTATTTTTACTGTTTTTCATTTCATAATGAGAACCAGTGTCTACACATGGTTTGATGAAGGCTGATTTTATGGTACCTTGAGATAGTCCTTGAGTCAGTACATTTTTTTCCATTTTCCTTCAAACTATAATGTTTGAACATACATACATATTTTATATGCATATACTGGTACTAGTATTTAAAAAAAAAATAAGATGATTCATTTGCATAGAGTGAAATCAAATACTAAATATTTTTCTCATTGTATCAGCTGGAATCATTGAAGAAGTTTTGATTTCCTTGTTTAATTCTGTTTTGTTTGTATCCGTTTTGTCAGACTTTTTTTCTGAATCAATCCGTTGATTGATTGCTCACTGTATCTAATATCTCAAAGGCTTTGTGAAATGTTTGATTCTATGAATTGACATAAATGTATGCATTCAGGGCACGCAGATATTCACTGCAACATTACATGGGGTGAACACACAGGTTAGCTTGCGATGTGGTGAAATTAAGGAAGTTGAAAGAAACCATTATTCAAATAGATCACTCACTATATCTTGAAGGATTTGTAGAATGTTACAAGTTGATGAAGTTATGCATTCAAGACATGCCGGGTTTAACTGTGACTCATTTGGGTTATGTCAAGCACACACAAGGGTCAGCATGTGATTAAATGGAAAAGAAAGTGTCCGTTCTTGTTATCTGAATTTATCTGAGTTTTTGTTAAAACAAGCACATGTTGGTACTTAGCGTCAGATGTGATTGTCCTGTTCAATTGTCCGTACAAGTCTATACAGGGTATATACTGAATACACTTTGGGATGAATCCATGCTAAATGGGTTACTTGTATTAGGGTATTTAGTTGTAATTTTATGTGTTTATTTTGATACAGGCATTCAGATAATAGTGGTCTTCTGTTCTTTGTGTTGCCTATTTAGATAGTAAACACGCGTCTCTATTTTACACATAAAACACATCAATATTAGTTTTCATAATTTCATATCTAGAATCATGTCATCTTGGCATAATATTATATATGAGATTAATATGAGTATAAAGTAAAGCAGGATTATGCACTGTATTTTTTATCGTAAATCTGACAATAGAATTCAACTGTCTATAAAACAACATGCAGCCAAGTTACGTGACGTTTGACACAATCGCTATACTGCCTTTGTGTATACATTGTGGTATTCTTGTAATAAACGTCATAGTATTCCATAAGTTATAAGCAGTGTATGACACTATGGGTTTTATATATGAGTTATTGATGTATTGATATAATATAAATACAAATTTTCTGATCTCGTTGACATTAAATGGCACAATTGAACTATAAATTTGTGTTGTAATTAAAAAATAATTTGTTGGTTAGGAGTATACTACTGTTTACAGCGAGTACAAAAATGCAAAAAAAGACGTGCTGTATTATTATAGTTATAACATACATTATGCACATAAATATATTATTAGCATTTCAATAACTATAACAGTTATTCGGAGATCACTCTATATGATTTAAATGTATATAAAAATGCTGATAACTATGAGAAATTGAACATTCATGATAAAATAAAAAAGCAAAATTTGACTAATTTGAAAACTAATTTGTCTGTATAAGATTAGTCATAGATACAATGCCATATGATACAGGGCTTAATAATTAGCTGGGTTTTATTTTTACTTATAAATTTAGCTAAATATGCTAAATTAAACCCTGTAATGTATCAAATGTATTGTGTCTTTGAAATCAGTTGATAACAAACTTGGTGATTTCCATGAAACGTCAAATCGGCTCATATATAAAACTCAACTCAACCCATGTGTAACTATTAAAAACAGGTCAAGTGATGTAAAAACAATCTTTGAAACTATTTTGGGGTATTTCTACACTGAGGGAGGTAATCAAAATCAAACCAGCGAGTTCTGACCAGTTT